GGAGGTCAATAGTTGGCATTTATGACAGGACATTCTCAACACTATTGACCTCTTTCAAGTGACTTTCTCCAGGCATGACAAAGGACTCCCCACAGAGACACCTGCCACATACCCCTTTAAGTTTACTTAAAATTACACTTATAATCCATAAATTACACTATCAGGTGGCCATAGAAAAGACTTTTGTCAGGATAGTTCCTCCAGATAAAATTCCAAGGCTGGTTTATGAAGTCTTTTTATGACCCCTTATTCTGAGAATCCTAGTTCATGTCTAACAATGTTCTGAAACTATAGAGCCATATTGTATGTCAGAAGTTCACTAATATTGATGTCTGTCATTAATGATGTTCAAGGAAAAAAAAACATAGCAGGCCCATATTTCTATTTCAGTTCCCTCTGTAATTCATTCTTCAACTAATGCGCAGTGATTTTGTACCCACTCATGACAGCCCAGAAGGCCTAACCATCCCCACAACTACTGCGGCCTCCTCTTCTTTCTTGAGCGTGACGAAACTCCCTGTCTGTTCTGATGAACACATCAAGGTATACTTGAGACATAGCGATCAAAGGAGTTATTATATCTCTAAAACCTCACATCCAGGTCAAAAAGTGCCTATGCTGTGATATTTCCTTGTTCTTCTGCCATGGAAGGGCAGAACTCCAAATTAATTGGTGGGATCCTAGCATCTTTACTCCCTTAGCTTGAGAAAATTGTGTGATGTTAGCACAGAATGGATCAGAGCACAAGATGGCACTGTTCAGCATGGTAAAATATAGTTAAGAAAGGTCTAGTCATTGCACCTTTGTTTTACACAAAGTTTTATTAAGACTTTTCAAACAAGCAACAGTACTACAAATATAGACAAATCCTCAAGAGAGGAAACTGGGGTAAATCAAGAATGTTACAAATAGGATGGGGTAACCATCCCCATGAGTACAGTGAAACATTCAGAATCATGAATACGTACAATATTTATTTATTTATTTCAGGTACTTATATAGCACCATCAATTTATGCAGCGCTTTACACATATACTGTATATTGTATATTCACATCAGTCCCTAACCCTCAAGGAGTGTACAATCTAAGGTCCCTAACTTACATTCATACATACACATATTAGGGCCAATTTAGACAGGATCCAATTAACCTACCAGCATGTCTTTTGGAGTGTGGGAGGAAGCCGGAGTACCCGGAGGAAACCCACGCAGGCACAGGGAGAACATGCAAACTCCAGGCAGGTGGTGCCGTAGTTGGGATTCGAACCAACGACCCTAGTGCTGCCAGGAGGAAGTGCTAACCATTTAGCCACTGTGCTGCCCCAGCAATAAGTTGGAGGTAGTAATTCAAAACATTGGTAGAGCCGAACGACCTCCGCCTCTCGAATGCAATTAGTATGCTGGGGAGTAGATTGGCCTAGGGTATGTGTAGCTAAGGATCCTATATATGTCACTTGAAATCTCTGGATTCTTGGTAGTACAGCCAACAGGCCCAGGTGTGGGTGAATTTGGAAGGGGCATCATGAGCTATACTTATGAACGCTTTCATTTCTCTGACTTTCCTAATGTGTTTGAACCGGTCAGTAATCACTGGGGGGTGGGGAGTCTACAGATCCCCACCTTACCAGTATGCACATTCTGGCTGCATTAACTAGGTGCATAGAAAGAGATTTATAATATGCTTTCTTAGAGAGTGATGTGTGATGAAGGAGGAACTGGACTGGGGTGAAGTCTAGGGTGTATGTGGTAATTTGAGCGATGATATCATGAACTTCCTTCCTAAAAGGGTTGTAGAGTGGTGCAGGACCACCAGGTGTGCAGTAGGGTATCTAAGTCACTACCACAGCACCAGCATATGGGTGAGGCAGTTGGGGAGAATCTGTGTCAGGGTTCTATACCATCTAGATCAGTAGATGTTAGGAAAATACCTGTAGAGACTGGAGACCAATGGGTGACAATGTAAGGATAAGCACCCTTCACAGTTCTTAAGAGGTTGAATTGTCTGAACAGCTAGACAGGTGATTGGTGTCAGAGTCACTAACCAAGGTCGATGCAGGAGAAGAGTTTTGTAGTCGGAGTCCCAAGTCAAAGTCGATATAGGAGAAAAGTTTTGTAGTCAGGGTAACAAGCCAAGGTCGATTTCAAGTAGTAATAGTGGTAGCTCGAGGCTGCGGATAAAAATACTGAGAGGAGCACAACAATCTGCAACAGGAAGTGCAGGGGCATGGCTTAAATCAGGAAGTGCATAGGAGGAGCAAAGAGTTCTGATATTATTTCATTTGGAAGACCATGCAATCTCTAAATTTCTCATATTAGTATTCCTGCAGTGTCTTCAGCTGTAGGGATGCTGGTGATGGGTAAAAAAAAATGGTCCATCTTCGTTAAACAAACTACTACTACCATGGCAGTTGTAAATTTCTTGGGCGGTGGTAGGTCAACAATAAAATCCATAGAAATGCATTGCCATGATCATGATGGCACAGGGAGGGGTTGTAATTGACCTACAGGGAGGGAGTGTGGTACCTTATGGTGGGCACAGGTTTCACATGAGAGAACATAATCCTTTACGTAGGAAGGCCACCAAAAGTTATGGGCATGGAGGTCTACTGTTTTCCTTATTCCAGGGTGACCATAAGATTTTGAATCATGCACCAACCTCTTCAGGGACATACATTCTTCTTTCAAATATAAAAAAGGTCCGGCAAATACATATACCAAAAAGGGCTATATATATCAATACACAAACAAATATTATGATCAATAAATGAAATGCAATTTTTCTTTGTGATCCACCACCTTGTGCCACTAATAATGCACTCACCACCCATCCATGACCCCTAATTAAAAGAAGGTCATAAGTGCTTATTTGCCCAGGACCTAAATTCCCAGTGGGTTTCTCTTCTGTATTTCCAGATATCATCCCTATATGGCCATATTCCTCAGCAGCGAATCATCATATACCAAAGGAGGAAAATCTCATAGTGTAGTAGTTTTATTAAAATGAAGCAGTATAAAAACAAGAATGCACTCATATGATCCAGTGCCCAATATCTCGGCACTAATACACTCTGTGATGTGTCACCGCTGCTCCGCACTGTAGAGGAACTGTAAGTGGCATCAATCGAACTTTTATTGCTAAAGGTTCCTTTTTACCGATATTATAATTCTGTTTCACCATCGTCATTTGGCAAGAATAATAAGCACATGGATGTAATAACAACATTTAACAAATTCTTTGAGAAAGAACTGCTCCAATGGCTGTATTGGAGGCATCTACTTCTACTATAAAAGGAAGTTCTGGGTTAGGGTGTACTAGTACATGTGCAGTGGTGAATAGGGATTTTAAATGTGAGAAGGCCATTTCCGCCTCTGTGGACCACTGAAAATATGCTTCCTTTTTAGTCTCATGGGTAATGGGGGCCACAATTTTTGAAAAAGTTTTAATAAATCTCTGATAAAGTTGGCAAATCCAAAGAACCATTGCGCATCTTTTATGTTCTTTGGGGTAGGCCGGTCTAGGATGTTCAGTAGGTCTGTTCAAAATTACATTTTTCCAACCTAATGTATAATTTATTTTGTCGTAGTTGTTCTAAAATTGTACGGACATGATCCCGATGTTCCTGTGGGTTGGTAGAAAAGATAAGTATGTCATACAGGTAAGCCGCAACAAATTGATGTAACAAGTCTCTGAAAACATCATTTATGAAATGTTGGAAGGTAGCTGGTGCATTACAGAGCCAAAGGGAATTACTAAAGATTCATAATGCCCATATCTTGTTAAAAAAGGTCATCTTATATTCATCTTCAGGTCGAATACGAACAAGGTGCGACCCACAGTTAAAGCGTGAAAAAAATCTTAGCTGTTCTTAGTCTCTCATATAGCTCTGGAATTAATAGAAGTGGGTAACTATTTTTAACTGTAGTTTTATTTAACTTTCTGTAACCAATACATGGGCGCAGGGTCCCATATTATTTTTTTCAACAAAAAATAACAGGGCTCCAGAGGGGGAAGTTGAAGGGCAGATAAATCTCTTCACCAGGTTTTCTTGCAGAAAGTCCCTTAATGCTTTCAGTTCAGGCTCCGAAAGGTTATAAAGGCAGCCACAGGGAATTGGGTCTCCTGGTAAAAGTTCTATTGGGAAATCATAGGCACGGTGCTTTGGCAACTGGTCTGCATTTTTCTTATCACAAATGTCCTTAATGTCTTGGTACTGAGGGGGCAATCTTTCTAGATTAATCAATGTCACTCCGATAATAGCAGGTGGGATGTCCTTCTTTAAACAGTGTAACTGATAATGTTCAGAAGAAAAGGTAAGGTTTCTGGCCTGACAGTCAATAGAGGGGTTATGAACTGATAAAGCATGGTATTCCCAGAAAAACAGAAAACTGAGGAGAAGAGATCAGATTGAAGGAAATTAACTCTTGATATCCAGGTTTGATACTTAACCACAGAGAAGTAGTTCCTGAATGATTACTCCAGAGGTGAGTGGAGATCCATCCAGTGTCTCCATATACACTGGGAATGATTTGGGTATTTGGGTGATGCAATTTTCTCCAGTAAACTTCAAATCCCTCTGGGCCATTGCTGAGGTGGATAATAATTGGTCTTGCTCTTTAAGAGTGATAACGGACCATCTCGTTTTCTCCTTTTGTTATGGAAGACAAGGTTTGTGTAATGGAACCCACTTGTTTCCTAGATATGGACAATTCTCTTTGACCAGCTTCTGCAATTGTTTCACTTGATTTATTTGGACACCTTTGGATGAAGTGACCTGACTGATGGAATCAGAAGCAAAGATTCAGTTCACGTTCACACCATGGAGGTGATTAGAACACCTGCATAAAATGATTTGGAGGGGTGTCCCAATACTTTTGACAATATAGTGTATATATATATATATATATACACTATATTGCCAAAAGTATTGGGACACCTCTTCACTCCAAATCATTGGATTCAGGTGTTCCATTCACCTCCATGCCCACAGATGTATACAACCAAGCACCTAGGCATGCAGACTGCTTCTACTAACATTTGTGAAAAAATGGGTCACTCTCAGGAGCTCAATGAATTCAAGCGTGGTACCGTGATGGGTTGCCACCTGTGCAATAAGTCCATCCGTGAAATTTCCTTGCTACTAAATATTCCACATCAACTGTTAATGGGATTATAAAAAAGTGGAAGCAACTGGGAACAAGAGCAACACAGCTATGAAGTGGTAGGCCACGTAAAATGACAGAGTGGGGTCAGCGTATGCTGAAGCGTACAGTGCGCAGAAGTTCCAACTGTCTGTAGAGTCAATAGCTAAAAACCTCTAAATTGTAGAGTGGTGCATGACCACCAGGTGTGCAGTAGGGTACCTAAGTCTATACCACAGCACCAGCATGTGGGTGAGGCAGTGGGGAGAAGATTTGTGAAGCTGTGTCAGGATTCTATATTATCTAGATAGTAACTTCTAACTATTTTCCTGTGTATTAACATTTATTAATCCTCTGTGCAAGTGTATATAAACGTGTTCCCAATCCTCAACAGATCACGCTTGACACGCTCTGCTGGCATTCGGTGGACAGTCAATAAAAATTAAGGAGTGGATCATGGAGACCAGGAGGCATTGTGGGGCGGTTCTGGTGTAGATCTCCTCTAATAGTGTGGGAGGTTGAGTGCACACAGGTAAAAGTCCTGCTGTATGTCTCACAGGATTGGAGGGTAGTTTTTAGAGTACAGTTCTGACAGGCAGGCAGGGAGCTGCATGTCCAGAAAAGTGATGGCCTCTGTTTTCCATAGGAGTGGGAAAGAGGATTGAAAATATTCTACTGTTTTTTTCGCGGTAGTAAGATATTCAAAGCATAAGATCTTAAAAAGTTAATCTGGAGATTAGATATAGTGTTAAAGTGGGAAACATCCCTTAAGGAGTTTCAGGATCGTGACATGGGGCTTGGGAGCAAAAAAGCAGAATATTGTTTGCAAAAGCAGCGAGCTTGTAGGTGGAACCTGAGACTGACAAGCCTTTAATATCCATATTGCCTCGTAGGCAGCAGAGAAGGGGTTCCAGGGTTAGTACGAAAAGAATTAGAGAAGGGGGCAACTGTTACAGTTGTAGCACCTTTGCCTCAAGAGATGACTTGGTTATTGTAATTTCTTCTTCAGGTGGTGGTAAGGTAGGCCTCCAGGGCCTGGAGTCCAGGCAATGATACATGATTACAAAACAGGAGAGTGTCAGCATACAGTTGCTTGGGGAAATCAAGTTTGTTTGGCCATTAAAGGTTAATATAAAGGTCATAATATGGACAGGCAAAGTATTATCCCCATAGGATGCAGAGTCTGAGCTACAGCCAGTATTTACCAGAACCTTTGAATTTGGGGATGGTCAGCACTGCATGCCATTGTCAGGTCACAGTCCCTGGATTCACCCCACCTGCTCACAGGGCTCAGGTTGAAGAAATGAGTGGAATGAGGAGAGGTTAGCCAAATAGTCATTATGTTAAAGTAATTAAAGATAAGACTATGAACAAAAAAAAAAAAAGAGAGAGACAAGTAATAAAAAGAAGCCAGAATAAAAAGGTACAGATTTAATGCTATGATTTTTATCACAGACGTTTAACTTTAAGTTGTTAAAGAGCATTGAATCTGTATTCTTTAAAAAAAAAGTAAAAAAAAAAGCAAAATAATAAATTAAACAACAGCTCATTGCCCTGAAAATGATCGCAAACTGCATTAGAAAAAAACATTGCAGCAGCTGCAGCAGTAACTTAACAAAAAGGCAACTCCTCTCCCACACTAATCATCAATAGGTGAAATTAATTACTTTCACTATATATAAGTCAGGCAGATAAATATTAAAAAGGAGAGAATTAAAAACAACTGCTAATTAAAACTTTTAGAATTTAGTTAAACCTGGCTGCACTTTTACTTCTCCAATTTAGAAAACAAAACAAAATAAAAAAAATATAGTTTTCTTTTCTTCTACCTTTATATTGTTTTAGGGTCCTCTCCTAAAGTGAAGATTCCTTTGCACTGGTGTGGGTTGGATCAGGCTGTTCATATAGTAGCTTCTGCGTTAGTGACCTCTTTGTTTCTCAAGAGGAGATACCTAATTGAAGTATACATCCTCATAGCTTTAGCGTTCATTCTCTTAATTATTATTATATTATTATACGGGATTTATATAGTGCCAACAGTTTGCTCAGCGCTTTACAATATAACGGGAGACAATACAGCAACAATACAGTTCAATACAAGAGAGTTAGGAGGCTCCTTGGAGCTTACAGTCTAAGAGGGAGGGGCTAGTGGTACAAAAAGTAATAAGTGTGGGGGATGGACTGGTAGGAGGAATAGAAGATTCCATTATTAGCTGAGGGCAGGATAGGCTTCCCTATTCTCGTAATAGTAAAGCACATTATTATTTGTATTAGGAAGAGCAAGGGAATTACACAAATCAGGACAACAACAGGGTGGAGTAAGATATCTAGGAAATCGGTGCCTTTTGAACTGTATCCAAATAAACTTTCCCAGCAGGAAACCTTAGCGCCTTCCTCTAATGTATGGGATACTTGGATTACTCTATTTTGATCCCAATATATTGCCAAAATTGGCAAAAAAGAATAATTAACGAGCGCTTGGAGATGGATGGTAAGCAGCTAGCATGAAAGGCACAAACCTCAAACCTTCACACTATAGTAACAACACATGCAGCGCTACAGATAGTCAATGTAAAAATATAAAAATACATATAAAGTGATAAGTGATGGGCTATTAGTGCTTAATAATATTTGATAAGTGTCCTCATATCATGATAAAATAGTCCCAATAAACCGTGCAAAGGTGGTTGACTCCGTGCTGAAAGGTGTCAAATATTATGCACTCACCAGAAAGCGCATAATATGCGCATTTGAGTTGTCAGACCACTCCTGGTCCTAGAAAGCTGAACCTGTGTGGATCATCTGGCAAGCTGTCACTCTGATGGGGATAAACTTTTCCTTGGCCAGCAGGGGGATTCCAGACATCCAGAGACCCTTTATAGCACTGATCCAGATTCCTCACCCAGGGCACTCATATGAGGTATCCACCTTAAGAGAGGGGGGGGGGCTTGACCAAAAAAAGCCCACCCCGAGAAACACGGATAGTGTAGTACGTTTCAAAAAGAGATCCTTTATTGCAGAGTAAAAACAGACAGGTCACTCACAGGGTTTCCCAGATTCAAAGATGGCCGCCGGCCTCCACGAGGTACGGAACGGCGTGACGTCACCGGCTAGGCTCCACTCTGACGCGTTTCGTGCGGACGAGCACGTTATCAAAGGGAGCGAGCACTAGCCGGACGAATTCTTATATACTGTTTTCCCGCGCATGCGCGGTGAAAACGAAAAAGCCGGTGACGCCATTTTTGGCCCGCTCGCGCATGCGCAAAGCTTACGATAGCGGCCATTTTCTTGGTTATCGCGGCTCAGGGAAGGCGATCATTGTGCATTTAGGTGAAACCATCTCACCTGCACTGCTGTATAGAGGGCCAGTATACAGGAGGCGGAAAGCCATTCATATTACAATGTATACTGGCCATAATAAATATTGTGTATATCATTAGACTATCCCTGACTTCCTTATAATGGAATTTAATACAGGTGTAGTCAAATTTACTTGATGAAGGCCAATTACATGACATTTATTGCACTTGCCTATAAATATATTTAAATATAATAAGGTAATAGCCAATCATCAAAAAAATCAGGATAAATAATTCATAAATATTAGAAACAATGCCTAAAAAACAACCCCCTGAGCCAGGATAATTTACACTTCACATAATATAAAACAATTTTGTGTGAGCCATCGATAAAATGTATAAACATATACATATATGCATTTAGGTGAATAAAAATAAAAATAAAAGTTAATTAAAAAAACAATTAAAACATATCAACTTGTATCAATAAAACAATTAATGTCAAGGTCTACATTCAAGCCTTGAGGGAAAAGGGACCGTAGCTCATAAATCCACTTGGTTTCCAACTTGGAAACCGATCTCTTTTTGTAAGTGCCCCTCCAATGTGGTTTCACAATGTCTATCGCAACAAATTTCAAACATTTGGGATTGTTATTGTGGCAGAGCCGATAATGCAAAGATAAAGAATGGTCCTTAAAACCTTTTTTAATATTCTTTAAGTGCTCACGCAATCTATCCCGTAACCTTCTTGTTGTCCTCCCAACATATTGTTTCCCACAGCCGCACTCTAATAGGTAAACAACGTATGTACTATTACAGGTGATGGTATTTTTAATTTCATAAGTTCTGTTAGTGATATTAGAGGCAAAGGTCTTCACCGGTCTCTTGTGTGTGCCATTATCAACACAGATCATGCACCTATTACAAGGATAAAAACCTCTATGCCCAAGGTTAAATGTGACAGTTTTTGGGGGGGTTCACAATGTTGGGGGCTAAAGACAACCTGAGGGGTGGTGCTCTCCGGAAAATAATCTCTGGGCGGTCGGGTAGTACTTTTCCCAATAATGGGTCATTCAAAAGGATGGACCAGTTTTTCTTAATTATTTTGGAAACATCTTTATATTGGGTATTGAAATTTGTAATGAAGGGACAGACAATGTTATTGTTAGCAGCTGTAGTGGGTTTGAGTAGTTCTTTCCTATCAGTATTTTGTACTTCCTTTATTGCTTTAGTCAGGAAAGGTTCATCATACCCTTTTTCCAAGAACCTTTCTTTTAAAATTATAGACTGTCTATGGAAATCTTCAATATTGTCACAATTTCTTTTTATCCGAAGAAATTGGCCTTTCGGAATATTCATTAACCATTTTGGGTGATGACAACTATCAAGTGGAATAAAACTATTCCGGTCCGTCTCTTTAAAAAATGTTTTGGTTAAAATGTCTATATCTGATACAAAAAGGGTAAGATCTAAAAAAATTAATTTGTTTAAGATCATACTGGTAAGAGAGTTTAATATTTAATTCGTTAAAATTTAATGTAATAAAAAAATTCTTAAGAGTGAATTCGTCCCCCTGCCACAATAAGAACACATCATCAATGTACCTCCGATAAAACAAAAGGTTAGGCCATTCTCTAGAGTAGATGAGATCTTCCTCCCATCTGGCCATAAATAGATTTGCCAGACTTGGGGCAAACTTGGCGCCCATAGCGACACCAGTAGTTTGTAAATAAAATTCATTCCCAAACCAAAAGTAGTTGTGTGTCATGGCAAATTTAAGAAGGTCTAAAAAAAATGTTCTTTGTATCACAGGGATGTCTGAGGCCATATTGAGATAAAAATCTGCTGCTGCCATTCCATCATCATGTTTAATATTACTATAAAGAGCTGACACATCTGCTGTGACCAAATATGTAGGGGAATTTAGTTTAATATTTTTAATGTCTACAAGCATTTGTTTTGTGTCTCTTAGAAATGCTGCTGGTGTCTTGGCCACCAGGGGCTGCAGAAAATGATCGATGTATTCACCAATCCTTGAGCTTAGGGAGCCAATGCCACTCACTATAGGTCTCCCCGGGGGGTTAGTCAGATCTTTATGTATCTTAGGCAAGCAATATAGGACCGGTAATTTGGGTGAGATAGGGCACAAATAATCTTTTTCCTTTTTGGTTAAAATACCCATATCATAACCTTTGTTAATAATAATACTCCTCAATGATCTTTTATAAGGGATCAGAGGGTTTCGATCAAGAGTTTGATAGGTGTTCTTATCATTTAAGATAAGATATACCTGCTTAACATAGTCTGTCTTGTCCATAATAACTACCCCCCCACCTTTATCGGCTGGGCGCACTACCAGATCTTTTTCTTCAAGTAAAGATTTTACCAGCGATTCTCTGTGTTTATAATTATCTTTATTTCTGACCTTAATTTTTTCTAGGTCTTTTAAAACTAGACTTTTAAAAACATTAACATACGAATGGGCTGGGGGGTTGAACAGAGAAGCATTCTTGAGTCCTGAATACTTAAAAGTGCTAGTGGCAGGGTTGGAGGAAATACTCGTAGGGGGGGCATTCCGAAAATATCTTTTCATAGCTAGTTTCCTCGTAAATTTGTGAATGTCAATATATGTGTCAAATTTGTTAAGTTTAGCTCTTGGTGCAAATTTCAGCCCTTTGTTCAAGAGGTTTAATTCATTCTCAGTTAGTTCTTGTTTACTTAAATTAAAAATCCCTCTAGAGTTTAGGTCTTTCTTTTTTTGTTGTCTATGTACCCTCTTTCCTCCTCTCCTTCCTCTGACCGTGTGCTTCTTTTTCTTGCTGGGCCTATTCCTAAAAAATGACTTTGTGGGTGTGAGTATTGTTGGTCAGGATTCGGATACGAATAATTCTCATTCATTTGTACAGAAACTTGTGGGTAGTCCCGGTGCTGAGGGTCATAATTATTGGAAGGGTATCCCCTTGGTGATGGGCCCCAGTCTTGACTGGAATTATATTGGTGCCTACCTGGGGTCCAATCACCTCTCCCTCCTTCTTGGTGATAGTAGTTATTATTCCCATAATTCGCTTGATTATAGTTATTTGTATTTCTCCAGGTACCCCCTTGTTGTGGTTTACGAGGGTGCCCTCCATTACCATTTCGATTACCACCTGTTCTATTGTTATTGTGATTATGATTATGGTTAGAATGTGGTTTAAAATTCCTATCCCCATAAAAAGGTGTATGCATCTGATTAAACCCTTGAAACCTATTGAAGGTGGGTACGTTATATTGGTTTTGCAAGGGATTCGGTGTGCTAGGGGGTCTAACATCATTGACCCTATGATTGTTTCTCTTTGGTGTCCCCATCAATTTTTGGGGATTAGTTCGTGGGGCATTGCCTTTATTAGGATGAATATAAGGTCTAGAAACATTACCTTCTGACTGGGTTACAGTCTGTGATGAAGGAGGAAGGCTGGGAGTCTGCCATTTAAAAATTTCTTTATTTGCATAATCTTTGCAGTCTCTCCCATATTTTTTCCTTTTCTTGTTTTCTGTTCCTTCTCAGTTTTATCAAGAAGAGTCTTTAGCCGATTTGATTCTGCCTTATATTCATCCTCCCTTTATAAGGTTGTAGTTTTACCTTAGTTTTATTAATCTCATTGTCTAGGTATATTAGTTTCTTTCTCTTCCTGGCCACCAAAAATGCTAACAGGTCCAAACCTTTATTATTGAAGAATGAAAACCATTCTACTTCACTGTTAACATCTCCGACTTCCGGAGGAACCTCCCACCTCAGAGATCTGGGAACCATACCCTCCTTGATATATTTTTCCAAAAAGGTGATATCCCAAAGGGTTCTGATCTCAGAGGTGGTATGGTTAGACAGATGTAAAAATAACCCATGGAGGTCATCAAAGTCATCCTCATGGGTAAATACCTCCTCGGATAACACCGGTCTCTTAGACCTAAACTCGAAAATATCCTCTTCCATTTAGATTTAAGGAAAAAGAAAAAGAGGAGGGGGGAGAGAGAACTAGGTATATAAACCTATTGAAAGGTAATGCTCCAGCAGCTCAGTA